GGCAGAAGATGGAAATCCGGGAGTACTTTTTTTTGAACCTTTTAGTCGAGAAATACTTTATGTAAAGCCTGAAAAGGTGGCAACCCTAATACCTAATGAGAATTTTCTACCTGAATAAACAGATCGCTCTGTATAAAGTCTTACAGGGTAAATAAATTTAACGATGCACTTACGATTGCTGAATTAACTTCATCAACAAATTGTTCTTCTGGAAGAGAAAGAAGCGTTTTAGCATTGTTGGGAGTCGTGGTCCATACCAAGGAACTCAAATTTTTTCGCAGCTAAATTTAAAAAAAAAACAACTTAAAATCACGTCGAAAAGTATGTACCTACGTATCCGATAAATTACCGGTAAAAGGGCGATGGGGCCATCCGGTAAAAATCTCTGCCAGGCTACTGTATTGTGGTCATCATCTACATTCTGTTAAAACAAATATTTGGTAGTTAAATTGGAATTTCATCATCATAGGGTCGTCAGTCCTAAGACTGGTTGGACACGTACTTCCACTCTATCCTATCCTGAGCTAAACTTCGCATTTCCCTAAAACTACAACAACCCGCATTCTTAACTAATTGCGAACAGTAATCTAACCTAGGTCTACCTCTACCCTCCTAACTCCTGTTTCTGCCTCTAATATGTCTCTGATTAGACCTTCATGCCTGAGAAGGTGTCCTACCAACCTATCTCGCCTATTTGTTATCGAGTCCTCTGTTCTCCTTTTCTTTCTAATACCTCTTCATTTCTAACCTTTTCTACCCACGTTGTCCTCATCATTCGCCGGTAACACCACATTTCGAACGCTTCTAACCTTTTCTTTTCCGCAGCGCCCACTGTCCATGTTTCGCACCCATACAACGCCGCGCTCCAAACATACACCTTTAACAACCTTTTTCGAAGGCGACACGACCCTGCGCTATCCTCTGCTTTATATCCCTACTACTCCTTCCGTCCTGACTTATCTGACTTCCTAGATATCTAAAATCAGCCACTTCTTCTAATTTTTCATCTCCTATATTTATATTCGCACTTTCCCTACTTTTTCTTCCCTTGCATACCATACTTTTATTTATTTTCATACCGAACTGATCTGTCAGTACCGCAAGTTACAATTTACCGTATCGTATTTGTTGGAATGTGAACAAAGATTAATTTTATTTTCAACGTAATTTTCTATTTTTGTCGAAAATAAATTTTATAAAACGGAAACACGTGCTTCAAATTGATTTTCTTGACATGCTGCAATACTAAATGGCCGTGTCGCGAACAAAACTTCTGTTAATTATTACAAGTTTCCAGAAAATCAAACGGAAATTAAATACGATCTATCTTCAGATTTTTGGGCACATATGAAGCACCTACTCGCAACACAAATTCAATACCTATTAACTTTTCTCATAAACATGTGATTTGCTATCGTAATATTGATCATAAAATTATAGGGAATGAATTGGGCGCATTTTTGCTTTCTATAAATACTCCGTTCATAACCTACCTCAGCCAATTTCAGAGTAGCTACAACTGCCATCTGATTGTAGTTCCAGGATAAATACTGGACACCCATCGTCTTTCTCACTTTTGAATTTGCTCCATCGCAACCAAGCTGAAAGAATGGCTCAAGTGGTTTCAAAAATAACATTCGAAATTTGTTTTAACAACACGTTGAGATAAATGCTATTGGGATTTAACCGAAAAAAATAAATAAACCTTCCTTGAAGTGTAATAACAAGACGTCTTGAATGTTTATATTAAATTTTGGGAATAACCAGATCCCGGATTTTTCCGGAAAACCCGTATCAAAAATAGAAAATGATCCCGTTCTACTTTCTCAATTTATATCAAAAACATCAGTTCAAAAACGAAGTCTCATAGGAAAGTAAGTGTCCTACTAATTAACTACATTTGATAGTAATTAGAAAGAAAAGATAAAAAATCAATTAATCACAATCAAATTTGAATTTCATTTTTCCATTTTTTTACATTTTTATTTTCAAGAGTGCCACAAAAGAGTGCGGCGTGTGTAACTAAAAAAAAGCATGGGCGGATGGAATTCCGTCAAATCAGTATATTAAATTACTTTAAAAGCAGTAAAAAAATATTTTTGGCTTTCCTCAATAAGTAAGTGAGTGGACCACCAACTGTTGCAAAAAAAAAAGTTAAAACAAACGCAAGTCTGCGATCTAAGAATACACTGCATAGTTCAATTTCGATTCGATTCGTAAAAGTTTTACAAAATAGAAACCAATCAGTTAGTCCACTTAAAACGATGTTACAGTTCACGGCGATCTGTAACAAATAGTAATCGAAATCGCGTCAGATATTTTCGTGCTCGACGGCTAAGAAAATACGCAGAACGGCAATGGCGTTCAAAGTGGAATATCCGGCGAAGATGAAAGAAAACTTTCTGGACGTTGACAGCATTGTCGATATCGACATTTCCAGCGAAGAGGAAGAAGAACCATGCGGTTCGGAGTGCACAAGCAGTGCCCGAAACAGGTCTCTCAGTGTACAAGACATTTGGAATAATGAAGACGTGATTAACGACCTTGAGGTAAGTATGTTTAAATTTACGTTCGTGCTCATTCAACTTATCGTGCCCTTAATTGTAGCCCTTTCAAAAAATAGAAGAAATTGAAGAATTAATCGACCAAGAAAACGTAGAATTTCTTTCAAAACTGACCACGAAATCAGCAAAAACTGCTCTTCTGATGTCAGCATGGCTAGGGAACGAAAAATGCCTCAAATTCCTGCTCGATCACCATAGAGTCCCGGTTAATTGTACCGACAACAATGGCAGGTAAAAACAAGTTAAAAACTTTAGTTTTATGTTTTCAATTGTTGCGCTCCTAGAACTCCTCTTCATTTGGCATCCTGTTCTGGAAGCGTTGAGTGCGTGAAACGTTTGCTGGACGCAGGGGCAAAGGTAACAATATGGGATAATGCCCATAAAGCTACACCTCTCCACTGTGCAGCAAGCAGAGGTCATCTTTCCGTTCTACGTATGCTTATTCGTCATGGAGCGAATGTAGATGCAGGTCAAAATATTAAGAGTCCCTTATACTATGCCGTTAGAAGTTTAGCTGTTGAGTGCGTCAGAGAACTGTTAGAAGTTGGGGCAAATCCGAATACTTTACAGGTAAAAACTTTTTCACAGATTTGATCCCTACACTCTTTTGTCGTTTTAAAGGTTTTTACAGAGACCCCACTCCATGTGGCAGCTTCTTTGGGTTCTTACGAAATCATAAAATTATTAATTGATCATGGTGCAGCAGTTAATGTACAGTGCGGCTCACAAAAGACTACAGCATTGCATTTGGTGGCAGAAGATGGAAATCCGGAACTGGCTCGTCTTCTCCTGGATGCAGGAGCACACATTTCCGCGACCAATCGCAAACTCCAAACACCCCTCCATCTAGCGGCGTTGTCTCAGTGCGTGGAAATTGTGGAACTTCTCCTCAGCCGTGGTGCAGATCCCAATGCTAGTGACGCTAATGGAAGAACGCCTCTTCATGGAGCTATCGTGAAGATATCGGATTCTTGTGATTGTGTTAAGGTTCTTTTAAATGCCGGTGCCAATGTGAACAAACCCGACATCTTCGGTTACACACCCTTACATTTGGCTGCGCTCAACGAATACTCGGCCTGTGTGATATTATTTTTGAATCACGGAGGAGACGTAACACTTAGGACAAAAGGAGGTGTTTCAGTTTTGACTTTTATCACACGCAGAACTCCCGATGTCATCCCGAAATACATCGAAAAATTCGATTCGTCCATTAAAGTGAATGATCACGAAATCGGCGACGTGGATTGCGAGCTTAAGTTAGATTTTAGGGTTTTAGTCCCGACAATGGGCAGGGGGGAGACAGATTTGTTATTAAATTTCATAGAAGTAGGCCACAGGGAGGTTCTACAACATCCACTTTGCGAAACATTTCTACATTTGAAGTGGAAAAGAATAAGAAAATTCTTTTTCTTGGGTCTCTTCTACAATGCCCTCTCAGTATTTTTATACACAGCTTACGTCATTGGAGTGTTCCTGAGGGACTGTCCTTTCACGAAAGACCCGTTCAGTGAATGCGAAGTTTACATTCTGACAAAAGTTTGTGGATATGTTTTATTATTCCTCAACGTCGTCACCATGTTCAAAGAAATATTTCAACTGTCCCACGGTAGAATTGTCTATGTGAAAGAATGGGAAAATTGGTTACAGTGGGCTACTGTAATAGCAATCTACCTTAGCGTAAGCCCTACGAATCAAATGAACATAAGAAAAATCGTTACCACGTGGCAACATCATGTGGCAGCCATTGGTATTTTCTTCGCCTGGTTTGAACTCATGATGATCGTGGGCAGATTTCCGATGTTCGGACTTTATGTTCAAATGTTTACCACTGTCACGATCAATTTTTCAAAATTCTTTTTCGCTTATTCGTGCCTTTTAATAGCATTCGGATTAAGTTTTGGAGTTTTATTCGCCAATTATCCATCTTTCATGAATACCTATTGGGGTTTATTAAAAACGATAATTATGATGACCGGAGAATTAGAATTTGAAGATATTTTCTACGCGACCACTGACTACCCCATACTTTACCCCATAACTAGCCATTTAATGTTTTTGGCATTCGTTATCCTTGTCACGCTCGTTTTGAGTAATCTGATGGTGGGTTTAGCTGTCAGTGACATTCAAGGATTACAAAAAAGTGCAGGTTTAGATCGATTAGTAAGACAAGCGGAACTCGTAGCTCATCTTGAAAGCCTGCTGTTTTCACGATTATTGCAATGTTTGCCCAACAAGGTCCTAGCTTTCCTTTACGGTCATGCATTATTGTTAAAGTCGCAATACCATTGGGCACTTTATATCAGGCCCAACGATCCCAGAGAAGAAAGGATACCCAAAGATTTGGTGCGCAACATTTATCAACTTGTCATCGAAAAGAGAGATAAACCTAAGATAGGTAAAAAACAAGTTGATTTGGATCATTGGAAAAATAAATTTACAACAAGGACAGACGGAAACTCCAGTTACATTTCAAGGAATAATAAGAAGCAATCGTACAAAAGACAAATGCAACAACTCCTTAAGGAAACCCAAGAGTTTTGCAAATATCTTCAACAGCGCTTGGATGTTTTGGAAGATACTTGAATAATGAAAAATAATGTTTGTTACAACACCGTTTTCGACATTTTTATACGTATAGTATAATGAGCACCCCAACCCTTCCGAACTGAGTATCAAATAAAATCGTTTATCAAAAATACGATAAAACATGTGTTGTCACTACAACAAAATTTTTTGAGCGCTTTTTAAATGTTCAATTATGAATATTTTTAAATGAGATAAACCGTACAGAACTTTATGTAAGACCCACGTATAGCATTCATTTAGTATTTTGGATGAAAGACGTTAACCAATGTTGAGAGGAACATTGGCGAAAAATCGTTGAATTATACTATCAAAACCAATTACGTATTATACAAAGAGGAAACGTTACTTTTTTTGTTTCCGTTCTACTTCTTGTAAATCGTAACAGACATAAGAATATATTAAGTTTGAAATACAAACTTCAATATTAACATGTTTATATTATTCACACTTATAAATAGAAAAAGACCATTCTAATACTATTACAACTCCTCTGATGTTAAAGTTATAAACGCACAAGGTTTTACTTCAATAAATCTTAATTTTCACGAAAGTGATACTTGATTCCATCCAATAAAAAAATATTTTTTTGTTTTATTTTTTTCTTAAAATATCAACGCGTTTTATTGACAAAATATCCAAATAAACTTTTTAACTAGACACTATTTAGAATTACATTTCTTATTAAAAAAAAATTTAGAGAAAGAAAAATTTTTAGTTTAAGTTTAATTAAACTTACCAGCAAATCGCAAGTAAAGGATTTTCCATTTTCTAACAACACTTTTGATGTATCACTATTTACATCAGGTAACTTAAGAGAGTCTACTATGGCTTGATAAAGAACATTCACATTTTGAACATGAGCGAGTTCTCTGTTAACTGAGTGCAGTAATAAATCATTTTCAACAATATAAGCTACATTATCTAAGTAATCATCTTGATTAAATTGAATCATAGCATCAGAAACTGCATCCCATACCTTCACAAATTACACAAAATGAAATAAAAAAGACCATTCTAAAATATGGACAGAATGCAGCTTACTTGCATACTTTTAACCGAACCATATCTTACAGCTGCAATATGATTCCACGCCCCAATACTACTTAAAAGAGATTTAGTATTTAAATTTAATGCAACTACCCTATTACTGTATTGTTCTTTTGGCTCCCACTGAAACTGTTTGCTACCTTCTAACAAGAGTATGGTCTTGTTAGCAAGTTTGGTGTTTTTCCCTGCAATTATACCTTTAATTTAAAAAACGTAGACTTAATTAAACATTTCTACCTAAAGCACAAGCCAAAGTAGTACCGACCATTCCTCCTCCAACAATAATTATATCATAATGAGACCTTTAAATGTTATCAGTGCTGAAATGTTTTAAGTCAATTAAAATTGACCTAATTAAAGAAGGCCCCTTAGAGATACTTCTCAGTCCGACACTTCTTAAAATCATCGTGTATTACACAAAAACTTACAAGAATTCAACAAAATAATATCTACTAATATTTCCTTTTTGAGGTTATATTACAAGAGGTTATGTTCATCAAACAAAAATAAAACTGAAACATAGATAAGGAAGTTTTCAAACTACATCTATGATAATAATCCAATATGTCTGCCAAATGTTATCAGTAAGAGTGGATTCAAGCTATGTTCCAAACCACTTGTAAACAGTCAATTTATCGATGATATACTTTTAGTTAAATGATAAACATCAGTTAGTCAGCTTAATAAAATTTAAGCAAGTTAATATATATATGTTGCTGATTGTATCTACTAAAATAAAACGCTTATTAAAAATGATAATGTTCCATTATTTTAACCCGTTTAGTGTACCTAATTGATCATACTCATAATAATAGCGTCAAATATTTTCTTTAACTTTGAAATAAAATGAACTTTTCAATTTAATGTAGTTAAGTGAAACTATATCTTATCGATTAAGCGTTGCTATGTTGCTAAGTACAAATTACAAACAAGTATTACCCCTGTAAAATGTCCGAACATAGAGTGGCTACTTATAATACTTCCTGTCTTAACGTACCACGACACCCTTTAAATCAACACCCGTTTCCTATTTATGAACAAGAGTATTTCGAAAATTTGGATCAACCTCGCAAGTATGCGTTAGACATCAAAAATATGGATACAAAGATTCGTTCATCCTATTCTCCCGATTCACAAAAGATTGTTTTAAAATCCTTGCTAGAATTTTACGACAGCATTCCCGAATACGATGATGTAAATCATCTTCCAAACAATGAATTTTATAAGAAGCTTGATAATTTACGCGAGAAGCAGCGCCTGTTCTACAAATATATGCAAAATGGGATCAAATTCGAAAATAAGAAGACTGAGTGGACAAACGATTACAAAGACATGACTATTGGAAATGTCAAACCCCAGTCAAGTAGACCAAAATCATCCCTTAAACCTTTCTGCGTCACTCCTACTCCTACTAAAAAGTTTTCTCTGAAGAACTCAGATATTGAATCATTATCTTCCATGGAAAAGGAACACTCACGACGAACAGTCAAGATAGATGAAATTGTTCATAAAAAGGAAGATGATTTCGACGAATTTATTACTCCAAAAGGTAGATCGTCAAACGTTTCATGTACTCGTTACAAAAGCAAAATGGATCACTACTGGGATGATCTAAGTATCCATGAGTACAAATCAGACTCAGAAAGAGATTTATTCACATCGAGGAGCGCTCCTAATAGTCCAGTAAGAAATAAGTGTCCAATGGGGTGGAAGAGTAATGGTATAACTATACCAAAACCATTTCAAATGACGGTCAAGTAGGGATAAAGAAACTTTTTCTTGTATTTTTTGCCTTTACTGTTTCTTTCAGCGACGAGGAGACTCAAATAATCAACGAAATTCTGGAAAAAGAAAAACCAAAACCCAAATCGGACGATAAACAACAAATGTTTAAAGCTCATCCAATCCCAATAGAATCGCGAATTCCTCTATTCGATAAAATAATGGCAGAACAAGAACGAAGGTAAATGCATTCTCTATTCAAATTAGTGTTTGGGTATTACCGATTCCTCTTTTTCTTTTAGAAGGGAAAGGGTTAAAAGTAAAAGCAGACAAAGTCTTCTAGCCCAAATGAAACCATTTTCGTTCACACGTCGGGAGGAACAAGTAAGGGAAATGGGGAAATGTTTGCTATCACAATCATCGCCCAGTATATTCCTGAGTGACAAACCCAAAAAACGAAAGCCCTTTAGAGCAAAACCTGTGCCCAAAAATCTATTTAGCAATTACATTTACAAGAAGATGAACGAAGATGAAT